TACTCAAAAAACACTAATTTGAGGCAAAATTTGAATAGGGAGTTGAAATATTGCAATTCCACTGGCAGAAACGTATTCTTGGGGTAGTTCTACGTGAAGATCAGTGGTCGATTGCCGTCCCGGACAGTCCTAGCTCCAGAAAATGCAAATTTTCGACATTTTAGCCAAAACATTCAAAATAAAACCTTCAAAAACTTCAAATGCTGATATCTCCGGAACCCTTTGAGCTACAGCGCCCAGAAAAATCAGGGAAAGGGGTCTTATTAGGGACTAACTTTGGGGGATAGAGCCAACAAATGCGGAGAGGGTCGATGTGAATCGTAAAAATGTATGCTGAATTGTCACCAAAATGACCATTTTTGCTGTTTTTTTTCCCCTGGAGACCCCGGGGGCTGCGTAAGACGGTTCCCATGGCCAACACACGTTACTTTGGTCCTGTCCCTTCAGTTTGGCGGTGAGAGAAAAAAAAAGTACGTTGAAGAACACAGAAACCCCAAGATTTGGGCATTTCTCTGCAAACGGTGTCTTTTACCCAATATCAACCCCTAAAACTTCACCTGGTCGTAAAACCGATAGCTGATTCGGATTCCCCAGCTCATTTTACTTCGGAAACCACTTTGCCTTTGGCCAGAACTTGCCAGGGGCGAGATTTAATGAGATTTTTCGTTTTTACACGAAAACAAGCAAAACGTGTTAGGCGAAACTTGCACCTCTTGCCGTTTCACGTAGGGATGTCCGATCGGGTTCAAAATTGGATATGTTGTCTAGGGGTATAATACGAACCTCAGAAAAAAAATTCAGATTTTTTGAGAAGGGTCGATGTTGCCCCTCGTTTTTCTTAAAAAAAGCTGCTCTATGACATGCGTTATTTATAACGTATGACGTCCCGTCATTGCGCTGTCTCTTACTCCAACAATCGTGTCGCGTTCCTTCCCAATTAGGTGAGGAGACTTACTCATAACCTCTGCGCATTCGTGTGGCTAGCAGTTTCGGTTTGCGTATGCTTCCTGCACTTCTCTGTTTTGCTCTGATTTACGTTGTCTGAGTACTCGCCGTAGAAAGCCGCTTCCCTGTAAGCTGCGCCTCGCGGCGGTCGCTCTTGTGACGTGACGGGTCGCGCTTCCGACAGTTCGTGCTTCCGGACGTTCGCTCCTGCGACGTTCGCGCTTGCGCCGGATCGCGCTTGCGGCAGTCGCGCACAAGGCGGCAGAGGCCTGCAGCGGGCGAGCCTCGATGCTCGTTGCTACGCCGCCCCACCTCATGCGAAAGGCTCCGCTCGTATCGTGGCGAGCGGAGCCTACGATAGCTCGGCTGGCAAAGGAGCATCTGTAGGCTCGTTTAGCAGTGCGACAGAGACAGACGTAGCAGGCAGCGACGAGTGCGAGAGAGACACCGTATGCTAGGTGGGGTGAGGTAGGGTAGGTAGATGCCGCCGCTGGACCGTCGCTACTCCCAGTTCGAGAGATTTTTGAGAGCTTCTACCTACCCTACCTCACACCACCTTTCGCAAACGAGCCTCTACGCTCGCCCGCTGCAGGCCTCTGTAAGGCGGGTCGCACTTGTGACAGTTCGCTCTTGTGAACGTCACCGCTTACAACCCACTGTGTTGTATCATATTAGTTACTTAACTTTATTAGTGACAAAATTTCCTTGATTTTTTACGTGGAAAGATCACCTTGGCCGCTCTGCTAGCGGACGTTTTGTACTCTGCTGCAAGTGAAGGACATCATGGCTGTAAGGCAGTTTTAAACTGCCAAACAGTAAAGTCTTCCAGTTGAAACTGCAAGGCTTTTGTTTCGCAGATTAAACTCCGATAATGCCCAGCAGTTTTATTTGCTGAGTACCGCTGCTATGAGGTATACTTGAAAAAAAATTATATCTCACTGCTGATTTGCCGTACTTCTTGGTTTTACAGAGTGAAGAAACTAGTACTGATGGGAGGATTCAACAAGAACTAGAGGTATGTGAGTTGACATGTGATGTTTTTATCTGTATTAATTTGTGCCTACTCTTTTATCACCTCCACTCGCACACCCTCTTTTTTCTACACTTTTAACTTATTACAAAGATTTTTTTTAGTAAAATACAAATAACTCTGTGCGACCGTAACACACACAAAATTTAAATTTCCTTGTAATACAAAGTTGTTGTTTTTTTGGTACAAAGATTTTCCTTTGTATAACGAAGAACATTTGGCTTTGTATTACGTTTGCACAGAATTCTGTGTAATAGAAGGAAATTGCTTTGTAAGAAGTTGAGAGTGTAGTTAGGGTAAGATGCCCTATGATGGCCACCTTAAGAATGGGCCTGCCCAATGATGGCCACCCCTTTTTCTTGTAATGTAGACAACAATATGAAGTACTTTGGCTTACTATGCCCAAGTAGAGACCTTACTAGAACACAACTTTTAGGCCAAGATTGTAAAGTGACCATATTTTCTGGAAATCGAGAAAAGTGGCCATCAATGGACAGTGGCCACATTAGGGCACCTTACCCTACTTCCTATTCTATTTCTGTATGATTTCTGAAAACGTTGGCTTAAAATGTTTAGATGCTTATGTTTGACGTTGCTGTTGTAGGACCCGGTTGAGAGCGAGGATGGTGTGAAGATTGTGTTTAAACACAAATGCAATAAGCACCCAGAGGCGTTTATTGCGGCCATCACTAAAGCCAAGAAAATCAAGTCTCTGAGTTTGATGCCTCTAGGGCTCGGTATGTCCTGCACCAGCACAAATACAGACAAGGTCGAGCGCGTTCTACAGGTACGTGGTTCTCCATAGCCTTCCTCTAAATGTAAAAGAACAATTTTGTCCATAACGAGGGAACGGATTTACAAGGTACAAAATTGCTTCGATAGAGAGGACAAATTTCAATTTTGTGCTATCCTCATGGACAAACTTGTTTCCCGTTTCGTGGACAAGACATTTGTGCCAGCGAGTGGACGTTTAAATCCGTCCCCTTTTTCGCAACAAATTTGTTTCCAAGGAGGGGACAATTTGTTCAAGGAACATTCTGTCCCTTCCAATGACACAATTTCCCGGGTGGAAAGGAGTACAGAAAAACTGCATTCGAAACTG